TGTCTAAAAACATTTTACAATATTCTCTTATTTGATAAGACTAAATTTATCGTTACGATCAAGAATACACAATATGTCTCCAAGAGCAGAGGTGATAAATTCTTTAATATAATCTTGTTTACCATTCAAAAGTACCTTTGTCGTAGTATTAAAAAAAAGTTCAAGAAAAATAATTGTGTGCTCCCTTTGCGAATAGCTAATGATTCCGATACAACGGCTCCCAATTTATCCTTATCCTCAGTTTTATTAATCAGAAGACCAGAGTTATTAATGACTGACTGTGTTATTACTTTAAATTCATCATAAGCAGCAGTAGAGAAAATTAAAACCAAATTTCAGTGGCTTATTTCTGTTTTTACTGTGTACAACCGTTCAGCCGCACCAAGCTTCTTATTAACGGCCTTTCTTTTATTTAATTCATAATCAACAGTTTTTTCATGGATATTTTTAGTACTACTAGACTTTTTGGTATTAGTTGCAGTATTAGCTACAGATTTGCCGGGTGTAAAGATTACTGTCTTTCCTTTTACACGATCACTTCTTCTTCTGGCAATTTTAATGTTTAAATATTTAGTGAGTGTGGTAAGAGATTCGCACAACCAACACAAAAATTCACAAGCAGAAATGAATTGTCTGCTATTTTAAACTATAGCTAAAACAGTTTAAAAAGTTACAACAGTTTTAAAAGACACCATAAGTTGGCTAAACACATAAAAATTGGCCTAGTACTGCTTAAAATATTTCAAATATCTAAAAGGTAAGATATTGCTCCATATACAGTACAATATAAAAATATTGATCAGACGTTAAAATGATAAAAAGAGAAAAACGAGCACACAGTTGAACTATGCAACAAGTTAACACAACGTTCATCATCTCGACATTTTCAAAGAATGTTCAATAAAAGTCGACAGCACTATCGTCGTGTGCGTCCCGGGAAAGGAGAAAATAAATTTCAGGTGAAGTAATAATACTTTACACCTTTTCTTTCAAAGTCTGAAAATATTATCAAGATGGCGCTAAGTGACGCTATGTTACCTGTCCTGCTAACCACTTGTAATTCCTGATAAAACACCTTTTAGTGACATAAAAGTATTAAAACATGTTCACTGTGTGAATTAAAAACAGATTCACATTAAAAGTGGATGCGGGTAAGTGTATAGGCGACAGAATAGGTCTTCTCTCTTAGCACATGTAAAACACGTCCACCTTAGTCCACATCCGGGAGCTTTTTTGTATTGTATTATATGAAGCTGACACTGTATATCAGAAGAAGAAGAAAACAAAAAGAAGAAATGTACTGACTCATATATATACACATAAATGTATATGTCTCTGACTGACTTATATCATCATATTGGTGAATTTTACAGGCATCTCTAAGTGGACATGAAAAGCACTGAAAATAAAGTTTATCGTTGTCATCCATAGACATTCATCGCTTTCACCAACGCACTTCGACGTAGCTACCAATAAAGGGTGGATTTAGGGTGGGGTGGCATGGTGCCGGCCCCCTTTTTGAGATTCATTTGTGGTTAATGCAGACTTTTTTAACTGTTCCACTCCAAATTTTGTGTAGTTTGGGGCACCCGGATCCCCTTTTTCAAAATCATAGATTTGACCAATAAGATAGGGTCACAATGCTATCATCGCATATCAGCGTGATAAACAAAAACACACTTCAGTGTCAAACCATCGATCTTCAGCGAGACCATTGCGGTTCGGAGTCCTACATATATTTACCAACCATATAGAAATGTATGTATATGAACCGATTATGAAGAAATAAAATTATATGTATCAACTATGCTAACATAAATTTGTCTTAACCAACTATCATGTCGATACTGACTACTTATGTTTTGGCACAACCTACACGAACTGGACATTTCTTTTGTATTCTTACACCTGGGACTATTATACTCCCATCTTACACTGAACATTTCATGAACATTTATTTGTAAAGTTTGTTGTTGATGTCAAATGTTATTTCGTGAACATTTGTTTTTAGGGGGAATGTAATATGTATGGATTATTTCCCTTTTCATTGCTTAATTGATTATATTTCATTCACATTAGCTTTAGTCTATCAAGTATTCATATACTGAACAAGACTGCCATTTGAGTTTCTTTATTTAGTTGAATTATCGTTATTTTTGCAATGCTATTCATTTTTGCTTTCCATTTTGAAAGAACTTATTTAAATAGATTAATAATAATAATTAGACGGGTTGCCTGTCTAAAATTAAATAAGTTAAGACGGTTTGTCCGTCTGAAGAGTGGTGCACGTTAAGCTCTATATGCAAGGCTTCTTGGTGACATGATGGCTAGCTGACTTTGTTGGCTGGATACGATGTCAGGGATGGTTATTACCTGAAAGTTATTAAGTTGTTTTGATGTGTTAAATATATGAATTGAATATGTATTTATTTTCCTGTCATTAAATTGTTAATTGTTTCACTGCCTTGGGTATCATTTAAAGTGCCTTGGAATATACTCCATACACTGTATCCCAGAACCATTCCCTTTCCACATATGTGTTTTTCGTAAATTTTATTGTAAAAATTAGGCTGTTAGTTTTCTCGTTTGAATTGTTTCAAAATTTCCATTTTGGGGCCTTATAGTATATGTAGCTGACTATACAGTGTGGGTTTTTCTCATTGTTGTTGGCCGTACAGTAAGCTATAATTGTTTTTATCTTCGTCATTTTAACTCTGGTGAATAGTTAACTCATTGGCAATCATAACATCTCCTTATTCTTATATGAAGACATAAAGCTGTCTGTACAAAATATGAAGACATATAGGTGTAATATGTACAACTATAAAGAAATGAAGGTGTCTGAACTCAATACGACGACATAAAGGTGTCGGAACCCAATACGACGACATACAGGTATCTGAACCAAATACGATGACATAAAGGTGTCTGAACCCAATATGATAACATAAAGGTGTATAAACCCAATATGACGACATAAAGGTATCTGTTCCCAATATGACGACATAAAGGTAACTGTACCTAATATGACGACATAATGGTAACTGTACCCAATAGACGACATAATGGTGTCTGTAGCCAATGTGACGATACAAAGATGTCTGTACCCAATAGACGACATAATGGTGCTTGTTGCAAATGTGACGACAAAATATTGTCTGTACCCAATGTGACGAACATAAAGATATGTGTACCCAATATGACGACATAAAGGTGCCTGTAGCCTGTTGTTGGCCGTACGGTAACCTATAATTGCTTTTATCTTCGTCATTTTAACTCTGGTGAATAGTTATCTTATTGGCAATCATAACACATCTCCTAATTCTTAATGACATAAAGGTGTCTGAACCAAATACGATCACATAAAGGTGTCTGAAACAACAGTCTACAGAACTACAAAGTGATTAGAAAATCAACAGTCTACAGAGCAATAGAGTCTACAGAAAATCAACAGTCTACAGGACTAAATAGTGAACAGAAAATCAACAGTCTACAGAACTACAGAGTGAACAGAAAATCAACAGTCTACAGAACTACAGAGTGAACAGAAAATTAACAGTCTACAGAACTACAGAGTGAACAGAAAATTAACAGTCTACAGGACTACAGAGTGAACAGAAAATCAACAGTCTACAGAACTACAGAGTCAACAGAAAACCAACAGTCGACAGAACTACAAAGTGATTAGAAAATCAACAGTCTACAGAACTACAGAGTGAACAGAAAATTAACAGTCTACAGAACTACAGAGTGAACAGAAAATCAACAATCTACAGAACTACAGAGTGAACTGAAAATCAACAGTCTACAGGACTACAGAGTGAACAGAAAATCAATAGTCTACAGAACTACAGAGTGAACAGAAAATCAACAGTCTACAGAACTACAGAGTGATTAGAAAACCAACGGTCTACAGAACTACAGAGTAAACAAAAAACCAACAGTCTACAGGACTACAGAGTGAACAGAAAACCAACAGTCTACATAACTACATCGTGAACAGAAAATCAACAGTCTACAGGACTATAGAGTGAACAGAAAATCAACAGTCTACATAACTACAGAGAGAACAGAAAATCAACAGTCTACATAACTACAGAGTGAACAGAAAATCAACAGTCTACATAACTACATCGCGAACAGAAAATCAACAGTCTACAGGACTATAGAGTGAACAGAAAACCAACAGTCTACATAACTACAGAGTGAACAGAAAATCAACAGTCTACAGGACTACAGAGTGAACAGAAAATCAACAGTCTACTGAACTACCCTGTGAACAGAAAATCTAGAGAACAACAGAGTGAACAGAAAATCAACAGTCTACATAACTACATCGTGAACAGAAAATCAACAGTCTACAGGACTACAGAGTGATTAGAAAATCAACAGTTTACAGGACTACAGAGTGAACAGAAAATCAACAGACTACAGAACAACAGAGTGAACAGAAAACCAACGGTCTACAGAACTACATCGTGAACAGAAAATCAACAGTCTACAGGACTACAGAGTGAACAGAAAATCAACAGTATACAGAACTACATCGTGAACAGAAAATCAACAGTCTACAGAACTACAGAGTGAACAGAAAATCAACAGTCTACAGAACTACAGAGTGAACAGAAAATCAACAGTCTACAGAACTACAGAGTGAACAGAAAATCAACAGTCTACAGAACTACAGAGTGAACAGAAAATCAACTACATACAAAAAATTTAATATTCAGCAACCCCAACCCTAACAGTAACCGCATGATCCTGTTATATATTAGTGATGCTAGATTCTTCTGTTAAAAGATGCTAAAGAAACACATCTGGTGATAAGGCTTCACCTTTAAAAAAAATAGTAATTTTTAGACATGTCACTTTAATCTCGATCTCTCAAACTTTTTAAGTTCTTGTCTTTAGTGTAATAAATGACTTTAAAAGATTTATATTTCACACAGACAGTTCAATGCTTCTTCTAATTTTATACTTGTAAAGCACAACAACATGACTTGTTTCTAATTTAAATTTTACTAAACTCACGACAACTTATATGATCAAGTACATAATATATATATATAGAACAGACAATGGCATGCACAGGGGATGAAACTTGACCTTATCTTTCAGTAGACTATATGATACAGAGTTTTAGAGAATGTGTAACCTAAATATTTAATTATTTGTCACTAAAAATTAATTGTCTATTGTTTAAACACTACAATACTAATCTTTATCAGATAAAACAGACCTCAATGAAACCAGTTAAGGGTAAATTTAGACTAAATACATATGATACAAGTTAATGTGCAACATGTGGAGCAGAAACTGCTTTCCTTTCTTGAACACATGCATTGATCCCCGGTTTTTAATGAGTTCCATTTGGCTCGGTTGTTAGTTTTAATAAATGTTTAAGGTGCAATAGACATCCACGGGTCGATTGCAGATGGAAAATACAACCAAACATGTCAATTACTTTTCAGATAAAGCAAATCTCATGAGGTCGAAAAATATTATTTCACCCGATATTCAGCAAAACTTGGTATTAATATATAACCCCTTTAACTAGCACTCCCCAGTTTTGAAGCATAAAAGGCACATTTTGCATTTTCGCAAAGCTCAGAATGTTTCCATGGAAATTGCAAAGCCATTCCCACAATAGTATTGACCGACATATAGATATAAACAAAGCCATTCCAACAATAGTATTGACCGACATTTAGATATAAACAAAGCTTCCAATGTTAATTGTTATATAGTAATCTGATAACTATAAACACATAATATTATAACAAAAATATCTAAATAAAACGCTTAAAATCATAACATGTTTCTTTACTAATAAATGATATGTCGTTTGGTTGCTGTCTCGTTGACACAAACCCTACATATGCTTTTATTTCTTTATGATTTGCATTATTTTCATTATAGATGATCATTGAAAAACAATCAAATGATGACTGCTTCTACAACATCTCGACAAAAGTATGAAAACTATTTATAATTGATTACATTTTCGGCACAGTATTTTAGTCCTATTCAGCGCTGAAAACGTATGACGTGTATTCTGCATTGCCTGGTCTAACTGACGCGTAGTTGATATTGGGTCAGGATGCCAGGTTCTATCTATATAAAAGAGTACATGATTTCCTGTAAAGTATATATAATTACCAAAAAAAAAATTAATGAAAATACAATGTAACCAAATTCGTGTCATTTGACTGACTTCGTCCTCGTTCACAAGAAACAACAGCCTCGATTATATTGCAATACTAGTAAGACAGATTTGAAATGCGATTCGATTGGACAATGACCAAAACAATGTCACGTGTTAGAAGCTTCATTGTTCCTCTTCATTTCAATTCCAAGTCCTTTATTTTGCTCTTTGAATTTTTCTGATTTTACGTAGTTTTTCCACAGTTTAATTACAATTTCCGATGCAATTACTTGATTGGTTTTATTGCTGACAAACCAAATGAGAAAGACGCCATCATGGCGCAGATACTCGAAAACAAAGTTATGTTGGAGAGTCTCTTCAAAATCTGGTGATTCCTCGGGGCGGCCATCACGAATACCTTCCATATCTAAGAACTTCCGTACATAATTTCTATTACGAAAAGGCAAAAATATGGCTACTAAGTTGTACAGAAAATTTGTTCCATTTATGAGAACCATAGAAACAAGCATCATCCAATTTATACAGAATATTTTTTCGTTAAAAAGATTTATTGGCAGTGAACACTGAACCGTCCATGTTTGGACATTAGTCATCTGCCGAACGTCAAGATCACAAAATGTCACTCGAGGAAAGCGTAGATGGTCTTCAAAAGACTTGCCGCTAAATAAAGACTTTAAAAAATGAAATCCAAGTGTTTTAAAATCATTGCCCAAAAATGCATCGACGAGGATTATTTGGGCGACGGCGTTTGCCAGATATAAAAATGACGTCACCATGAACAGGAAACAGAGATAATTCCCATAATGAACTCCAGCGTTCGCCATTTTGGTTTTGACCTTTTCCATTTTCTTATAAGGTGACGAAATACAGTTTCTAACTTTTATATACTTATCTAAATACATAACAATGTCGTTCAGAGCTTCATCTCTTTCCGAATGAGTCATAAAAACAGCTTCATCTGCCCGGCGAAGGATCTGTTTAACATTTATATAAGAACCTCCACCAAAACGTTTCCAAACCATACGAGGCATATAAAACAGCAATGCTTGTAACAAAAATATCAAAGGAACCCACTGATAATATTCTATCTCTTTATCAACTCGTATTTCTCGCTCGATTGGCAATGAGCTTTCAAAGTCAACGTAATACGTGTTGGCTACCCAACAATAATTGTTTGTGTAGGCCACGTGACTTTTTTCAAATACGGCAGGGCACCAGCACTGTATAGGTTCGCCGACATATTGTTTAGCACTAACGATGACGACAAACACAATGAGTACTACGACACAGTATAGACGGTTCAGTAGGTGGATTCGTGAATCATCTGTTAATCCGGCTTTAAAGATTTTACCTCCGTGATCTTTAAGGTCGTCTAATCTGTAAATACAATAAAATACAATGTTAAACATTGGGTATTCACTTATTAAAATACAAAGTTAAGCATTGGGTATTCCCTTATAAAAATACAATGTTAAGCATTGGGTATTCCCTTATAAAAATACAATGTTAAGCATTGGGTATTCCCTTATAAAAATACAATGTTAAGCATTGGGTATTCCCTTATAAAAATACAATGTTAAGCATTGGGTATTCCCTTATAAAAATACAATGTTAAGCATTGGGTATTCCCTTATAAAAATACAATGTTAAGTATTGGGTATTCCCTTATAAAAATACAATGTTAAGCATTGGGTATTCCCTTATAAAAATACAATGTTAAGCATTGGGTATTCCCTTATAAAAATACAATGTTAAGTATTGGGTATTCACTTATAACAATACATGTTAAGCATTGGGTATTCACTTATAATAATACATTTTATAAAGGGCCAAAAGATGTTTAGGCTTATTGTAAGAGTTCATCTCGACTGATGTTGTTAGCAGGTGTTGTTGATGATGTCGTGCTAACAACATCAGCCGAGATGAACTTTTACAATATAAAGAAAAAAAAGATCAACAAAAGAGTGCCGTGTGTGCTGATTTACCATCCCAAATTTGACAAGTTATCACACCTTATCCGCGAAAATTGGAATGAAATCGAAAAACATCCTAAAAACTATCTTAGATCTTTCCCGAGCCATCTGTACTGGCTTTCCATAGGCCCAAAAGCCTTAAAACTTGCTGGTGAGAGCTGATTTATCCTCTAAATCAGGCTCTTCGTCTGTGGGCTCTTGCAAGGGATGCGGAAACAAACGATGTCTGACTTGCAAGCAAAAGCTGAATTCCCAGATATTTAACAGTCACTCCATTGGTACGGAATACACCATATTTTGCAATGATAATTGCAAGACTACAAATGCTGTGTATCTTCTACCGTGTAAATGTGGTAAACAGTATGTTGGCGAGTCAGAACAGCGATTTAACAAACGTATGAACGGCCATCGAAGCGACTATGAATGCAAGTCAGACCTTCCTCTCAGTCGACATTTTAGATCCCCTGGCCAAACTAAGGCATATCTCAATCGACTTACTATTACAATCATAGACCACAACACTGCTTGGTCTAGGGAGGATAGACTCGCTCGGGAACGATGTTGGATAAGAAAATTAAAAACTTTGGCACCAAATGGGATCAATAAAAAGGTGTAGTTCTAATTTGCGCAGTGCTTTTCATTTGGGTTATATCATATATTAATACGCAGTCTCTGTTGCTATTCCTTTACACTTGTCAACTCTAAAATTCTAGAATTATACCAGTTTAAATCGCAGGGTGCTATTAATTTGAGAAGTATAAGTACGCAGCCACGTTCAATTACTTAACCTTCGTCAAAATTTTTTTTTTTTAATCATTATCAGTCTGCTATTTATTTTGGATGTGAAAATACACAGTCTCTGATGTAATTACTTAATCGTTGTCAAATTTGAAATTGGAGTGTTATACCAGCTCAAATCGGTCCGTGCTCTTCATTGGGAATGTATTTCTACGCAGTCTTTGTTGTGATATATTAACTTTCGTCACCTGTGAAATTTTAAAAATGTACCAGTTCATATCGCACATTTCTACTTTTGTTAGAAGCATATCTATGCAGTCTCTGTTGTAAATACCTAACCTACGTCATTTTTGAAATTTTAGAGTTTTGCTCGGTTTTAATTATATAAAGTTAAAGATTATTCTATAGTTAAATCAGAATAGATTTATATGATTCATTTTACATCATAATAATACTGATGAATGATATCTGTTATCCGAAATATTTATAGATAATTACATTTAATGTTTCCTTTTTTTATATTGGTGTTGTTTTGTACACTTTTTAGGCGTTTATATGATTTATTTATTGTGTACATGTATCGTTTCTCGTAACGATCCAGCGCCCTCGTAAGTAGAATCTATATATATATATGTACATACAATAATTTAATTACAGTAAGTAGTTTGGAGTCCCCTGTCCTCATTTCTAATGACTTTTTAATGTAGGGATCCAATTTATTTACTTATTTGGTGAATTGAGCATAAAAATCACCTTTTCAAACAATTCAATGAAACGGATTTAATTTCCACGATATGCTAAGCAAGGTTAATATGCTTTTAAAGTTTTATTTGTTCCCTTTTATCCCGACTTTTAATTTAATTTCGCTTTATAAAGGTTTGTGTCAACTATCCATTGTATGTCATATATATACATATAGGTCATATTTTATACATTTATATACATATAGGTCATATTTTAAGATTTTGTAAGTCCTTTATATCATTGTCATTTTGCTTTGTTTCTTCTGTTACCTATTCTAACATCGGACTATTGTGTTTCTTCTGTTGCCTATTCTAACATCGGACTATTGTGTTTCTTCTGTTGCCTATTCTAACATCGGACTATTGTGTTTCTTCTGTTGCCTATTCTAACATCGGACTATTGTGTTTCTTCTGTTACCTATTCTAACATCGGACTATTGTGTTTCTTCTGTTACCTATTCTAACATCGGACTATTGTGTTTCTTCTGTTGCCTATTCTAACATCGGACTATTGTGTTTCTTCCGTTACCTATTCTAACATCGGACTGTTGTGTTTCTTCCGTTACCTATTCTAACATCGGACTATTGTGTTTCTTTTGTTACCTATTCTAACATCGGACTATTGTGTTTCTTCTGTTGCCTATTCTAACATCGGACTGTTGTGTTTCTTCTGTTACCTATTCTAACATCGGACTATTGTGTTTCTTCTGTTACCTATTCTAACATCGGACTGTTGTGTTTCTTCTGTTACCTATTCTAACATCGGACTGTTGTGTTTCTTCTGTTACCTATTCTAACATCGGACTGTTGTGTTTCTTCTGTTACCTATTCTAACATCGGACTGTTGTGTTTCTTCTGTTACCTGTTCTAACATCGGACTGTTGTGTTTCTTCTGTTACCTTTTCTAACATCGGACTGTTGTGTTTCTTCTGTTACCTTTTCTAACATCGGACTGTTGTGTTTCTTCTGTTACCTTTTCTAACATCGGACTCTTGACTTCATTTAAACTGAGTTTTCTGTGCGTATTGCTGTGTGTTTGATTATTCTACATTGGCTAGAGGTATAGGGGGAGGGTTGAGATCTCACAAAATATATTTAACCCCACCGCATGCATGTTTGCGCCTGTCTCAAATCCGGAGCATCTTGCCTTTGTTAGTCTTAATGGTTTTTTTTCTAATTATGGTTCATTTATATGTTTCGGAGTTTAGTATGATGTACATTTTCGCTGAACTAGTACACATTTTTGTTGAGGGGCCAGCTGAAGCCCGCCTCCGGGTGCGGGATTTTCTCTCTGTGTTGAAGACCAATTGGTGGCCTTGGGCTGTTTTCTGCTCTTTGGTCGGGTTTTTGTCTCTTTGACACATTCTCCGTTTCCATTCTCAATATTATTGAGTTTTTGTCAAGCCATAATGGTTTGTATTGATACTGGTGAAATAATTACTAAACTTGGTACAATGTATAATGTTCCTCTTCAAGGATAAAAACTAGACCTACCTCAAATATTATACATATATTGTCAGCTTTTTTTCTAATTTATTTGAGTACTAAAGGGTTTTTTCCGGATATTTCTTCTACCGTATTCATAATCACACAATGTAAACATTTTATTGCGTAGACTCGACACGAAGAATGGTTCCAAATATATATATGTATTTTAAACTGGTGTTAAATATCCGTCGTAAAGTGTACTTAAAAGATCAAATTTGTAATTTATTTTCTTAAGTAGAATAACACGCACACACAACATAAATAATTAAATATGGACAAAGGCAATACACAACGAACTGATGAAAGGAATTTAAATAATATGCCGGTGTCTTAACTTATATACCTATGCTGCATTAAAGATAGATACTATATAAGAGAAGACAAGACAAAACAACTTTTAGATTAGACCAATTTACGTGCCCAATTTCTGAGAAGAAAAATCTAATAATAACAAACAGAATCATATTGTATTGTGTCGATTGATGAGGGGCCTGATGGGGGGGTCTCATCACGATTCACGAGTTGATTTTTTTGTCAATCACGATTCACAGAAAATAAATTTCCATGATCACGGATCACGAAAATATAAAAAAAAAAATCTGAAGAAAAACGGATCACGATAGCGAAAATGCGCTGATCACGAAGAACGAAAATAACCCATCAGGCCCCTCATTGATACAATGATTAGAACAAAATGGTAAAACAAAAAGGCGTCAAGTACCATTTATTTGACATCTAAAGAAATGATTTGATTTAATTTGATTTTTTGGTGTTTTAACGCCACTTTTAAACACCGCTTTTAGGCTATTTCGTGGCGGCCAGTTTTTATTGGTGGAGGAAGCGGGGATGTGCCTGGAGAAAACCACCGACCTTCGATAGGAAAACTGACAATCCTAGTCAATTAAGATTGGAGTCGAGTGCACCCGCACAAGCGGGGTTTTAACTCACAACCTCAGTGTTGACTTGCTAGTGATTACAGTAGTAACTACTTAGACAACTCGGCCACCGAGGCCCCTCTAAAGAAATGATGTTCGAGGTTTTTAATATATTCCATTAAGTTATATAAAGTTCTTATCATGTTTCTTTGTTGGTTATTTATTTTATAATATTAAGATTATTGTATCGCGTACGTTTAGTCTAAATAAAATCTCTTCTAAAACTCCAACGTTAACTTATACATAGTCACTCAAGTGTGAAATATAGGTCAAAGATATTCAAAACTTGCGTGCAGGCTTGTACCTCATGTATTTTAGTAAACGGTAGCAGTGAAATATATGTATATTATCAATGGAACTTAGAAGACCTTAATAGACAAATGAAATGGTCCTAACCGCAAAATTTAACCAAATTACTCGTGCGACAGTTTAAGGTCATGGTTACTCAAATGTTGTCGAAAAGTGCCTTCCACTAAAATGATGGGGCAGAGGTTAAATGTGTGAGTCCTAAGCACTTTACTTGGTGTACCTTCATCAGGAAAGCTCAAAGCCAAATATTTGAAAGCCCGGATGTATAAGTAACGAAACAAATGATACTTTACATGATCAAAGAGTAAAATTACAAAAATATCAAACTTCAAGGCAAATCCAAAATGTAAAGTCCTCTATAAAATGGCAAAATTAAAAGCTCAAACACATCTAACGAATGGAAAACAACTGTCATATTCCTGACTTGATACAGGCATTTCCTTATGTAGACAGAGAACTAAAAATATTAGTTAAACCCTTTTAAGGTCATCCTTGTCTGAGGGAATTGAAACCTTCGTTTCTAAATAATTCATAAGCGGACAATTTCAGAAATGTATGTTTTAATTCATGTGAGTACCTAATGACTGATTACAAAGCTGATGGTACTGTCGGAGGCTAATATAAAAAAAGAAGATGTGGTTTGATTGCCAATGAGACAACTCTCCACAAGAGACCAAATGGCACAGAAATTAACAACTATATGTTAACGTACGGCTTTCAACAATGAGCAAATCCCATACCGCATAGTCAGCTATAAAACGCCTCGAAATGACAAATGTAAATCATTTCAAACGAGAAACTATTGGCCTAATTTATGTACAAAATAATGAACGAAAAACAAATATGTAACACAGCAACAAACGACAACCACTGAATTACAGGCTCCTGACTTGGGACAGGCACATACAGAATGTGTCTAGTCCACCAACAGCGATAATTAAAAAGTGCTATCAAAACAATATAACTTTTTAAATTCTATGCGTCAGAAGCGTTTTTCTGGATTTACCTTCTTCAACTGAACTGCAGAGATTTTTAAAACAGTTTTTGTACTAGGGAAAAAAATCAGAGAATTTGACAATGGAATGCTAGGATAAACTTCCTATCTAATTTATAAATATTATGAAGACATTATTAATTTAAATGCATCATTTTAAAACTCGAACTTCCTTCATTATATATAGAATAGTATTTATTCTAGTTGCTCTTTATATACGAATGGACAAAACTTGTACAAAAGATGACGTCGACGTGTTTCACTTTAAAAAGCTGTTTCTTAAAGTTAAAGTTAGATTAATGAATATTACAGCTGTATTCAAATTACGTTGAAATTAAAACGATTTAAAGTCCACTCTATTGAAAATGTGAAGTTAGAGTTTCTTTGTCGACATATATTGCGAAACTATAACATGTATGAGGGTCTTGATGGGGTCCTTCATTTCTCTGTTCTTTAATTTTTTGCTCATTATTTTTATCTTTAAAAGTATTATGGCTATTCTGTAATTACTTTTTAACTGTATTCTGGATATTTTTCTTTTCTGTAATCACTCTATTTTTACCATAAGTTTTTGCAGTTATTTTTTATATTTTAACAACCCATTATTCTCTATTCTTTATTTTTTTTTTGCCCATTTTTCTCTATTCTGTAAACCCCATACACAGTCTCGTGTATAGAAATGAATACGTCCATAATTTAAGGTGGTACCTAACACTACAGGGAGATAACTCAAGTAAAAGGGAGTAAAATCAGCTAAACGTTTTAATTACGTTGTGTTGTTAAGGGAATATTAAGCTTCTCAATGATCAAAGTTAGTGTTTGTCAAACTGCTATATAACCAGTCTAATTTTTCTGATAAATTGGTTGGTTCAAATTTTTTGAAATTTTTATATTTTTGTCAAAGGGTCAAAGTAAATACTTTGTCAAAATTTTATGAAAATTAAACGAGCCAAATTAATTTTAGTGAAGGTGTTGGGTACCACCTTAATCACATCGGTATAGTTTGTCTTCTCCTTGTCCTAAATCTCTACCAACCCCATCCCCCCATCCCCCCATCCCATCTCCGAACTGTATCACATTTCTATGTATAATTTATGAATGTGTTTTGTAATCAGATTTAGGCCACTTTCAGTTCATTTCAGTTGAAAAAAAACTTTTGTTTTAGTGGTACAGACATAATTATGTTCTTGAAAATTATTTTAACAATAGCATTAATATTATAGAATGGCATCTCTGAACTTAAAAAAAACATCAAATTTGACTATCATATGTGATTGTTCGGTTATCTTTGAAATGTAAATACGAAAAAAAGAAGATTCTTTTAAAGTTCCCTAGAAGCGAAGATTCAAATCAAGTAAAATCTTCTTTTTTTTTTAATTATTTAGTAGAAACTTCTTCTGCCGAAAAAGACGTACTTGTTCATTTATATGTTTAGGAGTTTAGTATGACGTCCATTTTCACTGAACTAGTACACATTTTTATTTAGGGGCCAGCTGAAGCCCGCCTCCTGGTGTGGAATTTTCTCGCTGTGTTTAAGACCCATTGGTCAGACTGTTTTCTGCTCTTTTGTTGGGTTGTTGTCTCTTTGACACATTCCCCATTTCCATTCTCAATTTTAAGAATCCGAAATAAGATAAGAACATGATGGTGAAATCTTACCGACAAATAATTATTTACTCTGTTTTAAATTTTCGCTTCTGTAGTTTTCAATGTACACCAAAATTAAAACGTGGGAAAAGAACACAAAACCTTGTTAGATTGTAACTTTCATACATAAATGATCAGATATTTCACAATTAAGTCATGCTCCATATTAGTTCACAACGATATTGGGATAGGAAGCCGGAAATGTATGAGGACATTAAAAATAAAACTTCAACGGAAACGATAATAATAAAAAGTTTTAAAATATGACTTACGCTCCCATTTTCTGTGCTTGTAGTTTTTCACAATCTTTTACATTTTAGTAAGTATTCCCTTTTTTCATTTCATCATACGCACTCTTTAGTCAACTTTGTCAACTAAGTTAAAAATGAATAAAACAGGGTATAGATTGACCTGGATAATTACAGGTAAAGGGAATACACAAAGGTAGATTGAATGATTTGGGTGATTTAACGGTCATATCAATGGAATTCTATACAATACAGTGGAATGCGTGGGTCGCTTTTTTGTTTACATTTTATTCGTGTCGTAACAGCACTCCTTTGTTAACGGTAAATACTGAAGGGACGCTATCACGTTAATTTATTAATTTTTGCAGTTTCTATTTTCTCTTTATTCTTTATATTTTTTGCCATTATTCTCTATTCTTTATGTTTTAAAACCATATTATTCTCATTTTTTTTGTCCATTATTCTCTATTCTTTTTATTTCTTGCCCATTTTTCTCTATTCTGTGTTTTTCTTGTCCATTATTCTCTATTCTTTATGTTTTAGTACCACATTATTCTCTATCCTTTTTTTCCATTTTTCTCTACTGTTTATTTGTAGAACTTCATTATTCTCGTTTCTTTTTTTGGTCCATTATTCTCTACCCTTTAAACCCCCTACCCACACCATCTTCTATGGACAAATGCGCAAAAATATATGTAAAACACAGCATTTGAACTTACAGTCTAATAGATCTCTGATCTTGTTATCCTCATATGAGCTTATAATACGAACATGCGAGTCTTGATATATCAGAATTTTAATTAGATAGATGGGAAAAAAACATTCAACTGAGAGAGAGAATAGTGAGAAAAAGAGGACTAGCGAGAATGTAAAACACATGCAGAGGAGGATCGATTTGGGATACACGTCCAGGGGCTAATATTCCATGTAAACTAATTTGAAAATTTGTTAATGTCAAATGAAAACAAAAGAGTCTATGTTATTAAAGCTTGTGCTTCGAAAAACTTTACAAAAAATTTTGGGTGATTTACACAATAATGTTTGCGCACAAATTAACACATGAAAATCGCATGATTATTTCAAAAGAATCGTTCCTGGCACATACTACATGTAAACGCCCCAAAAACGCAAATTATTGTGCATAAAAAAACAAAGAACCTTTTGCATGATATTATTAGGTTTCACCAGACATTTTTGAGTCTTTAATATCAGTGCATGGTTTATAAAACTTTGATGTAAGTAAAATTTGCCATGCTGATTTATTACATATGATTTAAAAAAAAATGGTCAAAAATCATCTCCCAAAATAATGTCATTATGCAGAACGTGTCAAATGCATAATTGAAGTGAAAATATCATCGAACTGCTTATTCTACTTTCAAACTATGATGATGATATATTTGTAGAAAGAGATAGTCAAGATCAAACTTTAAATTGTAATGGAAAATCACATGTACATGTATGTATATCGTCAAGACGAATATTCTAAATGGCCGATTTATAATAACTTTATTGCAAAAAGTGAAACCCTGACAGGTTAAATGCAAACATAATATACACAAGTGACAAGAAACATACAATACATGAAAAAAAGTGTTAAACAAGTCAAGTTAATATTAATAATATATATATTATAAGTATATAGATAATTGACCAATGTGGACCTTATTTTCGCAATTCCATTGATTGCTTTATAAAGCATACAACACTAGACAAAATATCTTTATTGGGATCTAAAATAGTTTTTAAGGTTAGAGTTTGAGTCAAGCTGGTTAAAATTAGGATAATGGGTTTTAATTGCATTTATGGGGGAATTTCTAATATTACTTTTGATTTGGCAATGAAGGAAAAAGTGTTGCTCATCATCTAAAATTTTACAAACTTTACACACTCTGTGTTCTCTTTGAATTTTTTTATATCGACCTATTTCAATTTCCAAGTTATGGTCACTTACACGGAATTTGTTAAAAGTTGACGACTATTAAAATTGTTTAGATTGTGCAAGTAGTCTTCCAGTTTAATTTCATTTTTAAGTTTACTATAAAGGTAAAGTTTTGAACTGTTATCGATATTTGAAAGTTTTTCAAGATTTATAGGTAACTCTTTACTAGGTTCTTTACTCGGTTTGACCCCATTTCTAAAGATAACAATGGAAACACGTGACTACCACAGTTGGGCAATTTTTGTCATTTTTTGTTCAACTGAAACGAGCCGGTTTTATTAGAAAAATAAGTCATATCAAATGAAACCAAATCGTGTTGTACGTTATAAATAAACTCATCATATATACCAGGATTGATGAAATTTTGTATTTGCGCCAGACGCGCGTTTCGTCTACAAAAGACCATCAGTGACGCTCGAATAAAAAAAAGTTAAAAAGGCCAAATAAAGTACGAAGTTGAAGACCATTGAGGATCAAAATTCACAACTGCGTATACTTTTAAGAAGTTCTAACATAAAAAATTGTTTTGATAAAACGTACTGAATTAGAATACGTTCTTGAGCCTTCAAACCTGAGCTCGTCACCTATACTTTTTATATTTTTAATGGTTGTAATTACTGTTTATACTATGTATGGTATAGTTAGCATGCACCTCTTGTCATCAGTGAATTTTGTTTGTACTAAAAGTCTTAATTACCTCTCTGACCATGTTCAGATTTATTTTGTTTTAAAATATAAGTTGATTGTTTTCCCATAAAATTAATAAGACCACCTCATTGCTAAAAAATTGTACAAGCTACAAATGGACGTCAGATCGAAGTCTACAGAAAAAAATATTGTTTGACATTGTCATTTCGGGGCCTTTTATAGCTTATGGGCTTTGCTCATTGTTGAAGGCCGTACAGTGACCTATAGTTGTTAATTTCTGTGTCATTTGGTCTCCTGTGGAGAGTTGTCTCATTGGCAATCATACCACATCTTCTTTTTTATATTATCATCTAATTAGGAAATGATAAATATGATTGTAGACTTTGACCAATAAGAATTTGAAAATCAGTGAGTCAGGAATAAATTTAGCACCTGAAAACCTCAATCATATCTGATAACATATTCAAGGATGTTTGTTTAAGAAAAAGTCCAATGCATTAAATGAAAATTGAAAAACATTGGTCAGAAAGTGAAATTAGAAATTTAAAATCAAAAATAAGTTTTCAAGGGGAAACAATCATGTAATCTATAGATATAAGAAGATGTGGTATGAGTGCCAATGAGACAACTCTCCATCCAAGTCAATGTCATTTGATAAATCATTAAGAAATAATTATTTTATAACAGCCGAAGATTTGAAGAAGTGTGCTAAAAGAAAAAGAAAAAACATTTGAGACAAAATTTTATAATAAAAATTATTGAGATGCTAAAACTGAAACAAGAAACAAGAAATTCAGAAATTTGTGAATGAAGTTGATGATTATACCCATACTAGCATCAATATATATAGCAACGATAATTTTGAACCCAAAAATTTGATTAAACACTTCCAATATCAGGGTGACTAGAAAGAACCTTAAAATAAAACACATTAAGAAGGGATTTATTGTTTTTGATCGGAGCTAAATATTTCGCCGTTTCAGAATTTAACGCATCATGGGTAATATTTTTTGGTGTACGCTACGACGCTATTTTGTTTCTAACGACGCCATTCCGTTTTTCAATGTATACTATTTCATAAATCCTGTCACATCAAATCAATATTTTCAAAAATCGATATGTACTCAATAAAATTGAGAATGGAAATCGGGTATGTGTCAAAGAGACAACAACCCAACCAAAGAGCGAAAAAAAATACCGAAGGCCACCAATGTGTCTTCAATACAGCGAGAAAATCCCGCACCCGGAGGCGTGCTTCAGCTGGCCCCTATACAAAAATGTGTACTAATTCAGTGATAATGGACGTCATACTAAATCCGAAATATATAAAAGAAACTAAAATTGAAAATCATACAAGACTAACACAGGCCAGAGGCTCCTGATATGGGACAGACGCAAACATGCGGCGGGGTTAAACATTATGTCCCCAAGATATACTTTAAAAAAAGTCCTAATTGCAATTGCGTTATGATTTTGGACTGCACAGAATTCAAGGTAGATGAATGTTATTATCATTTGCTATAAATCGGGCCGTTTGATTTTTTGTTTGAACTGTTTCACATGTCGTGCCTTTTATAGCTGACTTTACTGTATGGGTTCGGCTCATTGTTGAAGGCAGTAAGGTGATCTATAATAGTTGCCTGTATCCGCTTCAGTTGGACTTTGTTGGACAGTTGTCTCATTGGTAATCATACCGCATCTCCTTATTTTATACTAAAAGGTGTAATACCACCATTGATTTTCCCCTATTAGTCTTTGTTAAATTTGCACTTTTCAAAAAATTGTGCAGAATTTATCTTTGTTTCAAATAAAGAAATATTTGGCATGAGTAAAGTTTTATCCTGTCCAGTACTATAGAAAAAAATTCACATAACAAGAAAAAAACCATCACTGGAAGTTAACCAATCAAATTTTCCCCCTTTTTTAACCTGTGTACAAGCTTTAGTAACCATGTAACTTCAGGTTTCCAAAATATTCTATAGAAACCCCAAATAAAAAAATAATGGTGCTTTGAAATACCCAAGATATATGTTTATGACCCAGAAATGTTTTACTGCAATGAAATGTAGGATCAATTACCTACAACTGTCAAATTCAAGGGAATATTTTTTTTCGACCTATTTTCGTATGCGACGTACTATGATTTGGTGGTATTACACCTAAAAGTAGAACAAGGAATCAACATTACCTTTAAATTATGAATCAACAGACAATGTTGGGTATAAGGTAATGAGCCTTTATAACAGCAATAAAAAAGGATTCCTTTGAGTAGATAGAAGAAGATGTGGCATGAGTGCCAATGAGACAACTCTCCGTCCAAGTCACAATTGTAAAAAGTATAAACTATGTATTATAGGTCAAAGTACGGCCTTTAACACGGAGCCTTGGCTCACACCGAACAGCAAGCAATAAAGGGCCCAAAAATTGTAAAAAGTATAAACCGTACATTATAGGTCAAAGTACGGCCTTTAACACGGAGCCTTGTTTCACACCGAACAGTAGGCTATAAAGGAACGAGACACAATTATGAACCATATCAACAAACGACAACCACTGAACAACGACAACCACACCAACAAACGACAACCAC